CGAGCATTCTTGACTAGTTATACTGTTCAGTAATTGAACTAGTCACGGTTCTAGTTAGAGTTCACTGGGCTTCTCAGCCTTTTGACTGAACAATGAGTGTTTCGCTCAACGGGAACCACAACCGACGCTTGGTAGGAGACATCAGATGACTCAGATTACACGAGATAATCCATTATTCTTACCTCACGTATCCCTTAAAGAAGAATATAAGTTTCCTTGGCATTTCTCCTTATTGTTGCAGGTATTTGAAGCTTCATGCTTCGTCCACCTCGCGGGCCATGCCTTTATGGCCTCTGGACCACCCTTTTCGAGTCATGCTTCTCTAGCCTCTGGACCCGCCTTCTTGGAGTCGGATGTAAGTCTCGTGTGCATTCTTTCTCACCCCTTAGGATTGTAGATGACTCTCAATGCTTTCCTTCTTAGGATGCTTAGCTCTTTTGGTTGCTCGAGTTATGTCGCTTACATGGCTAACCTCGGCTTGATAAAAAACTGAGCTTCTTCCAACAAGTGCATTATGCTTTAACGACACAACACACTTGTTCGATTCTTTGGTGGCGTCAATTTTTGATGTCGCATGCTCGGACCCACGCAAGACGGAGCTGTCTTCAATTTCCCTTAATCTAGGACATCCGATAGGTTCTCCTGGTCCGTGCCTCAATCACAAAATCAAGATCGGTACCAATTCAACCCTATATGGGAGAATTCACTGTGGAGCAATGTAAAATTCGACACACGGACATGCTTGATGTCCATTATGGTGCCTTAGAGGCCATATCCTGCTTATGTGGAGTTTCCGGTGGCCAAGGGGTGTCATCAAACTCTCCCACATGCGTTTTGGGAAAATTCAGGTTTTTAGACCGGTCAACCCGCGCTGGGGTTCAGGGCATGTTGGCTCCAAAATTCGAAAATTGACACCTCTAGAATGTTCATTTTAATCTATGGAGTCATATTTGAGTGAAACATGACTCTCTGTAGTGTCCGGGTCGATTAAAATCATCCTGCGGGTACGCGGGTGGAAAATTGAATTTTAGACCGTCGGGGCCGTATTTGGCTCCCGAAGGGGTGGGCGGATTTTTGCTCAATACGACGCATCCGTGGGGTCTGCCCGGAGACGGAGAGGCATATTCTCATCCCTCGATGTGTTATGATGGTCTAACGACCCATAGGAATCTACCACGCGAGCCTCGACAAAGAAAAAAAATCAAAGAACAAAAGATAAAAAAAAAAATCAAAGAACAAAAGAAAAAAATCAAAGAACAATAGAAAAAAAAATCAAAGAACCTAGGGCTTCCTCTAGGAAACAATTGTCAATAGGCATATGGTCGTGTCACCTAGCATCGACTGGCCAACTTGCCTAGCATAGGCGACCAAAAACCTATGGCGACACCACAAAGTTGGTCAATCCAAAGTCGTATGGCCGGGCCGATTGGTATCGTACAACCAATTGCATCGTCCGATGGCGGACAATCGATTCCGCCAGACGATACCGGTTGGCCGGTCAAATTTGCCTCGTGTAGGCTCCCAAAACTCACAACACCCAGTAAAAACTACTCCTGGAGCCGGCTAAGAAAGAAAACACAAGAGTTTGAGAGAATCTTACCGCCGCGAAGGTTGAAGACATGTTCTCTTTCTTGTCCTCGCTCGGATGGTGCTCCAGCGCGGTCTCGAGCTTCACTCCTTCCTTTCGGGATGAAGAAGACCACTCTTAGAAAGTGGTTTCAGCGAAGTTATATCAAAGTTTGGAACTCCGACAAAGTTTCCGACAAAGCTCCTGACGATCCCTCCTAGCCTCTCTCCTTGAGGAAGAAGAAGAGTCTCCTTTTCTTGCTCCAAGCTCTCAAGCGTCCAAGATGAAGAAGAAGCTCCTTGAGGAAGAAGATGGTGTTCTCCTGCTCAAGTTTTCCAAATGCTCTCATCAGCTCTAGCAAGAAGGCCCTCAACGGAGGGAAGAAAGAAAAAAAAGTCAGAAGAAATAGGAAGGAAGAAGAAGAATAATAATAATATCATCTTCACTTGAACTCCTCCTCCAGAAACCTCTCTTCCCTATCTCTAGAGCTCTCTCCATTAGTTTAAAAATAGTGGACCCCCAAATTAGCTTCCTCCCTCCTCTTTTGTTTGCTTTGCCACACCAACCAAGCTTCTTGCATGGTCTTTTCACCTCCCGACCTCTCTGCTCGACACAGCCTGGGAAAGCGTTTCCTTGGATGGACATGGCATCATTTGATGTGATCTCTCCTTAATTTGTCTTGACCCATGCCATAAGCTTTATGGGAACCATGCAAATTTTCCCTGAAATGATCCCCTCCATCTGACGTGAAACGGGCTAAAACGATGTGAAATGGCGGTGTTTAACTGAGTCGGGACGTCTGGGCGCATATGCACCTGTTGCTCGGGTCCCACATTTAGTTGGGCCCCTAAGCGTCGGTTGGGGGGGCTCATAAGCGCCTCCCTCTCTGTCTGAAATCGTTCCATGCAAAGTTTCAACGCATATGCGCCCCCTTCTCGGTTCGGGCACCTAGTATGCGCCCCCTCTTGCTGCAGCCACCTAGGGGCTCTTGGCGCCTATGTGCCACACTAAAAAAATTTCTTTGATTCCTTTCTTTATCGAGGCTCGCGTGGTGGATTCCAATGGGTGCTCGAACCGTCATATGACATCGAGGGATGAGAATAGGCCTATCCATCTCCGGGCCGACCCCGCGGATACACCGTATCGAGGGAAAATCCCCCTGGGATCGGGTACGACCCGACAGTCTAAAATTCAATTTGTCACCCGGGTGCTCGTAGGGTGATTTTAATCGACCCGGATGCTGCGGAGAGTCACGTATCACTCAAATATGACTTCATAGATCAAAATGAACATTTCAGAGGTGTCAATTTGAGGATTTTGCTGCCAAAAGGCATCCAGGACCCTGCGCTGGTAGATTAGTCTAAAAACCCGAATTTTCTCAAAACGCACGTGTGAGAATTCAATAACTCCCCTTGGCCACCAAAAGCTTCGAATAGGGGGAATATTGCCTCTAAGGCACCATAATGGACCATAATGGATATCAAACATGTCCAGTGTCAGAATTTACATCGTCTCACAGTGAATTCTCTCGGGTAGAGCTAAATCGATATTGATCCTGATTTTGTGCTCGAGACACGTACCAGAAGGTCTTATCTGATGTCTTAGACTACGAGAAGCTGAAGACAACCCCGTATCATTTGCGTGGACATACTTAGCACGCGACATCAAAAATTGACGCTAACATTATCCATTACTTACTCATTTGTTAAAGATTATTTGTGTGATACATATTTTTAGGGAATTACTCATTTGTTAAAGATAATTTTCGTGATACATGTTTTTAGAGGGAGCGATGATGCTCATCCTTTCATGCTTGAAAAGTGCAAAATATTCTTCCGTAATGGTCCCACCACCTAGTGATTCTTAAGAGATTTTCTTTTTATGATATTTCTCTTATTGTGGAAAGAAGAGCGATAGAGAGAGAGGGAGATTTTTCTTTTGTCAAGCTTTCATAGTGTGACAACTTTAACTCACAACCATCGAGATATTGTTTACTTTAGCCTATTGAACTCACAGTTTTATCAAATTGGTATAACTTCCTAGGAGGTCACCCATCTCAAGAGTACTTCCATACTTACACACAAAACTTTTAAACCCATAATCAACCACAAGGTAGATATTCCCATTTTTAGCCTGTTTAAAGTCTCTAGTACCATTTGTAGCAGCCCAAAATCTCATCAATCGTGGTATTGTCCGCTTTGGTCTAATGGCCTCACAGTTTTGTCTAGTTGATGTAACTTTGTAAGCGACCATCTATCCAAAGAGTGCTCCCATATAAGCACATTGAACTTTGGAGTTTTTGTTAAAACTCCAACCGTTACACCAAATGGTCCATCAATTTTTAGGAGTTTGACTTCATTATGCTTAGAAGTGTTTTCACACATTAGGCTCTTTTTTATCCGCCCTCATGTTTTCTTTTTATTAGCATCTTTTTGTTGTGAAATAGGGGAGCAAGGCAGGATGGGAGATAAAAATTCCTGCTCCCAAGCTTCATAATACTTATTTGGGAAATTTACCTACAAAACATGCAATTGCTATGTATTTATATATCTCACACCTAAACTTTCATATTTAAATACATAGCACTTCAGTGCTTTAAGTTTATGCATGAAAATATATATTTCACTTTTAAAACGTGTTAATAGTGCTATTTTTTTATGTGATATTAAAGATTTGAATGCTATGTGTAAATTAAATATATGAGAATTGTGTGCATGCTATCTATGTAAATGCCGCTGCTTCTTTGTCTGTTTTTGTTCTTGGGTTATGAACAAGCGCAATGCTGACTGTTTCTGTGTTAATAAATCCAGCTATTCATGTTTATTCTTCTATGACTTTTTACATAAAGTAGAATTACAAGTCTTCTAATTCATCTTCTTGACAGTAGATAGACAACTGAATGAACCTAACTTACATTCAGTATGTTTAATTATTGCTAGAAATTAGGATTGCGGATGACTGTTATCTGTCAAGGATATGATAAGTTTCATTGAATAATCCATTTTATTTAAAAATTGAATTTTTGAATGTCCTGTATTATGTTAAAGTGAATCATAAATATATTCATATGCGCATTTACATATAAACCACACAGTTCTTATATATTTACATAGTTAACATCTAAATTTATATTTACATGCACACCATCGAATCGGTAACATCACATCACAAATATCACCATCACTATATTTTTACAAGTGAAATATACTTTTTCATGCATAAATTTATGACACCAAGTTTTATAAGTGTTAATATCAAACTTTGTGTGCTCGATATGTAAATACATAAGAATTGTGTGGTATGTATGTATTCCTATTGGGAATTTATCCTCTCATGATATCTTTTAGGCAACAGAAATAACTGAATGAAAATAGATCCATTCTTATTTCCATCCATATCTGACATTATTTCAAATCTTCTTCCTCTTGCTCAGGATGTCGAGAATGTGGGAAGCCATGCATTTCCATCACAGCAACCAACAGAAGCTCGTTGCCGCCCTCCGAGACTTTGAAATTTCACACGCTCCTCGAGAAACAAGCGAACAACATCACGAAACAACCATCCAACTCTGGCAGATTGTTCGAGAATGGCATTCACAGTTCCAAAATCTCATCACTCACCAGAAACAGTACATAAAATCACTCAAAAGTTGGTTGGATCTTAACTTAATTCCAATCAAAAGCAGTTTGAAGGAGAACTCATCATCAACGCCACCAGAAATTAAACCTCCAATCAAAGATCTTATTCATGCTTGGCATGATCAGCTCGAAAAGCTTCCAGATGGATTTGCCAAAGGCGCCATAATTAGCTTCTCTGAAGTCATCAAGACAATTATTATTCTTCAGGAAGATGAATTGAAGCTCAAGGAAAGATGCGAGGAAACCCGCAAGGAATTCTTTCGTAAGAAACGAAATTTCGAGGACTGGCATCGTAAGTACGTCGAAAAGAGGGCTGAGAATAAAGATGGCGATGACACAAACCAGAAAGACATGGTGGAAGAAAGGAAATTTGCCGTGGAAAGTTTGGAGATAAGGCTTAAGAGTGAGGAGGAGACTTATCAGAAAACCTGTAAGCAGGTGAGGGAGAAATCTGCTGGAACTCTTAAGAACAAGCTGCCGGAGCTTTTTGAGGTAATGTCGGAGTTCTCACTTTCCTGTGCTGAGATTTACAAGCAGCTGCGGATTATAACTCAGCCTGAAAAGCCAACTGCTTCTGGTTAGATTTTTCTTCCTTACATGTACATATATAGGCTTCCAGCATATATTTTAGGGAAATTTACATATTTACCCCACAATTCCTATGTATTTATGTATCTAACACCTAAATTTTAATATTTACATTTGTAATGCATAGATGTTATATATATATGAATGAAAATGTGTATTTCACTTTTTTAAAAGTTAGTAATAATGTTATATTTGTTGTGATGCTAAAAATTTGAATGATATGCATGTAAATATCTGAGATAGATATGCAAATATATAAGAATTTTGTGGTAAGTGTCAAGTAAATGCACCATAATGGAGAAAATTTTGGTTTTAAAACTCTTGAATATGCTTTGAAATTTGTATCATATATGAATAATCAATTTACTAATTATTGTATTAATTTTGAACCAAATCTAAAATTGTAGAACTTGTACTGTCAGTATATTCTCAGATTTTTTTTCATATATTAAAACTTTTTATTCCTCTGATTTTGATTTGTGTTCTGTAGATGTTTGAAGAATATAAGTTTGTTTAAACTGTAATTATAGATATGTAAGCTTTGTTGCTAATGTATGAGGTGAACATTTATGGTATTCATAAGTTTGCTATCTGGTGGTGCTCTTCTTCCTGTTCTTGTTTTCCAAGTACACGCTTAAATCATAGTATGGAAATTTCATTTATGTATATCGAAAATGTGTCAGTGTTGATCCTGAGGAGATCTAAGGGTCTAGAGGAGGAGAGTACGATAGAAGATGACCCATTAACAAAAGAGCATGAGGCACATTTATCTGACTGAGTGCAACCGTCCTGGCAAAAGGCGACAATGCCAAAGTGGTCCCAGTCAGAAAGACGATCAAATGAATCTGAACCATGCGGGCTGAAAGGATGCAAATAGGCATCCGATCCAATTGCTACAAGAAAGTCGATCCAATACAGTAGTCAATCTTCTGATAAATCCTGTATGAGGAGGATCCAGTTCCTCAAATAGCACCAACCATCGCATGGACGCCCACGAGTCTCCTCATAAGGGATCAATAATTAACAATGCAACAAAGAGTATCATAGACGTCCCTCGGGCTCTCCTCATTGAGGAACGAGCTATCAATCGGATTACAGTGATTCACCTTATGCCTGACAGTCTAGTGTCGCTCTGTCGACATGAGCTCATCATGTAGGGATCAAAGGTTGACAACTAGACTAAATTAATCGATCAGCAAGCCTAGCCCGCCGAACCAGTCTTGCCAATTTGAAGCTAGATAAGCTCAGCCGACTAGCAACACCAATTAAGCTTTGCCTAGCCTACCGAACTGCCCTTACCAAGCCGAAACCAAACAAGTTCAATTGACCGGGCCAGAGAGCAGCCGGGCAATATGTTCATATATGTAAAATACCAAGAATACTCCGTACAACCCTCATTAAAGCAAGAACAGAAGTATAATATCACCATATTGTATTGTCTCTTTTATAAATAATGAGATCATTTCATGTATAAAAGAGGGTAGACAAACCCAATTTTAGCCAAAAAGGCCGGTAAAGATCGACACAGTTGATATAATTTACTGTTCACTCTTCTCTGTTTTTACATCTCTCTTATATCTTACCCGTTATTGCTTGAGTTGTGATTCATAGACAAATCAAAATTAAATAATTATATATATAAATACATTACTTTTTAAAAATTTAAATAGTTATATTTTTATCTGATGCGAAAGAATTGAGCTGTAGAAATGTTAAAAACAAAGTTTATTTGTTAAACACACAACAACTATATTAGCTTGATTATAAAAATTAGTATAATTAATTATAAATATAATTAAGGGTGTTATTCAAATTATTTTGAAATAAATAGGATGAAATGACAAAAAAATGAATAATTGAATTTATTAGATGTTCATGTAATGGCTGAATCTTTTTTTAATGTGTGAATAAATTTAGATATTTAAAATAGTATTGCATGCTTATAAATATTCTCATGATAAAATTCAAGATGATAGATATATACAAATATTAAATATTAATATAATTAAAGAGTTTGTGTAAAATACTTTAAGAGCATCTCTAATGTATTTTCACACGCTTAAAATTATTTTAATATTTTAAAATTTGATTTTATATGTTTAATAAATTTTATTGCTTTTTTATTAATTTTAAATAAATAAAAAATATTTAAATAATGCAATAAATTTTAATTATAAATTTTCTTAAAAATTTAAAATAAATAAAGGTAATGTTGTTAAAGATTACCTCCATCCATATCTTTAGGAGCACTTACATAAATACCCCACAATTTTTATGTATTACCTATCTATCCCCAAAATCTTAATTTTTATACTCACAACAATCACATTTTTAACATCACATTAAATTATTATTTTTATTAACATTTTAAAGGTCAAATGTATATTTTATGTAAATTTGTATTATAAATATAAATATCAAATTTAAAATATTAGACATGTAAATATATAAGAATTGTGAGATAAATACATAAATTTCTCAAAAAAAAAAAGTAAAAAAAATAAAAAATTTCAAGTACATCACATAAATTTTATATATTTATACATATATCACTGAAATTTTTAATTTAACACTGTCGTTGTCGGTCTTAAGCCCGGATATAAAAAGTGAGGTTTGCGTTAGATAGTCAATAGATAACGTAAAATTTATCGAAAAAAATCATCTCATGACATTTTTAATTTAACACTGTCGTTGTCGGTCTTAAGTCCGGATATGAAAAGTGAGGTTTGCGTTAGATAGTCAATAGACAACGTAAAATTTATCGAAAAAAATCATCTCATGACATGAATATATGGAAAAGAAGGATTCATGTATCTAACTCAACTCCAGGTAGTGGGATTAAGATTTTATTGGTTGTTGTTGTTTAATTATTTTATGTAAAAAAAATCCCGAAGATATATAAATCCGACGGTACAGGCGAGGAAGCCGTGATCTCGTGCGATGAATCCCTCGACTACAGTGGCCCATAGCTCCTCCTCTTCGTCTTCCTCCTCCTGGTTTTCGGGCATAGTTCGTGGCCGGTCCACGAAAATCCCCGCCGCCGGTACTGGCGGAGCCGCTGTCTCTCTTCCCGGTGATTCCTCCAGCTCCGGCCATCGCAAAAACCAGCTCCCAGGCGTTCTGTTCAAGTACGGCCCCAAGTCTGTCCAGGTTAGCAGAGGATTAGGTTTTTTGTGCGGGTTAAAGGGTGTTGCTGGTTTGCTGCTAGTCTATCATTTGCTTACAGTACGCTGAATTTTCGTCAGGATGACAGTTAAAATGGTTGATCTTTCTAATAATGACAGTCAGAGCACTAAAAACTCAAGCAGACTAGTTAGATTGTTAAAAAAAAAAGGAAGTATTTTTTGCGACCGTGCGATTGATTCTCCAAAATTTTAAATGTTGCAACGGATCCAAATGAAATATAATACAGATATTTGACTTTAGTACTTGATCTCGGTACTGGTTATGATGGTTTATTTCGTCTCCGAACCTTATGGCTTAAACTGACTGCCACGATTTATCTGGATCACTCTTAGGCAGGGAGGGAGGTTGTCCACCCACCATGCTTTGTTCAATAATGATGAATAGGATTGTGTTAAATTTTGAATATAGATTTGTTACTGCGAAATAAATAACTTCATTGGGTACACCTATGCGCTTTTTGTTCTTCCATTAACCCGTACAATTAGATTAATTCACAAATTACTTGAGCAAGCGCTCTGAATTTAACATTTGCCCTGCTACGGGAAGCAATTTATTTGTTTTTCTTTCTTCATTTGATTAGGTTTTTCTATATAGTGGTATAAAACCACTTAATTTAACATTTGTACTGCTACGGGAAGCATTTGATTATTTGGTATGCATGTAAATACATAAGAAAAATGTTGTTACATATGTTTGAATGTTTCTCTCGCGCTTCAATTGATAAAATTGTCATTGAATGATAATCTGAATCATCAGGAAATTTTTTCTGATGCTGAAGATTATAAACTTTTCAATCTATTTTGCATTAATTGATAATACTGCATAATATATTTATTGGAAATAAAGTCAAATATTTTTTTCTCAATGTATGGTAGTCAGCCATCACTTATTCGACTAAGTGATTGATGTTTGATAATCTTCATTGAATAAAAAAACTCTCTCAACTGTAGCAGTGGCAACTAGTAAAGTTAAAGCCAATGTAATAAGTCTGTAAATGAGAAGATACACACAATCTTTCTTAGCCTTAACAAGCTGTTTTGCCAGATCAACAATGCCTCTTAAAAATGAGAAATCATCACTTAAATATATGTCAATAATATAAGTGAATAACTGTTAATCGAGAGTTACAAACTCAACTGTAGAAAAATCATTAGGATATAACTCTGTATGATGAATTATTTTCTCTTTTCCAAAGTTGAGAATAAATCACCTAGATTTAGACAAGCTATACAGAGAAACAACTCGATACTTGCTTCAGAGAAACAATTATTCAACTCTTGAAATTGCATGTCAATCACATTATTGAACAACTCAACACGATAATGATGTAATTTCTTTACCTCTCCGTGTTGATCTTCGTCGAGCCTTAAAAGAGGAGTTCATATTTGGAATCTCAATTTAAAAAACATTACAAAAGCGAGACACTTCTCTTAATAAGGATTCCCATTCATTCTCTCACATTATTTGCAATCGTTGTTTTGATACATATACTAATTTCATCAAATTAACAATATCTTGGTCTTTTTTTTGTAAAGATTGTAGCAATTTATTTGTAACCCTTAACATATTAATCATTAAATCCAACGTGAGGACAAAGTCAAAACTCTCTTTTGCATCACTTAAAACACATGCTTTAATTATAATCATACACTCCATCATCTTTTATAATATCAAACACTTGAAGTACGGTTGCATACATTTTCATGAGACCAATTAAAGTATCAAAATGCGAGCTCACACGGGTGTCTCCAGCTCGTTGCAAAGTAGTTTCTTGATTCAAACTGCAACTACTAATTAATACTAATCTCTAATATGCAAAATAATTTTTCATGTTAAATTATTTTAAGAGTATCACTCATTACAAGAAGCTCCAACTGTATTTAGGATTCTTGAAGTGAACTCAAAAAGTTGTTTACTTTGCCAATAATTTTTTGCTACAGTTACCAATCGTAACTGAAGCTGATGGACGAAGCAATGAATATAGAATGCTTGAGAATTATCATTAAGAATGAGTGCTTTAAAACTATTGAACTTGCCTCACATATTGGATGCCCCGTCATAGCCTTGACCACTTATTCTATGTAAGCTTTATAAATGTTTTACAAATATGAATTCAAGAGCTGTTTTGAGTGCAACTGAAGTTGTTGAGAAAATATGTTTAACTCTAATAAATCTTTCAATAACTTGTCTATTTTTATCAACATATCTCACAACGACATCCAACTGTTCCTTTGTTGACACATCATGAGACTCTTCAACAATAATGGAGAAGTAATAATCACATATATTTTTCATGATATAAGCTAAAGTCTCAACAGTTACAACTTGACAAAGTTCTTTTTGAAATTTTGGTGAAATTAATTGTAATTTTGTGCTGACATTTTTAAATATAACTTTCTTGATTTCTTTATTATGATTATCAAGAAAATGAAATAGCTCCGAATAATTTTCTTGATTAGCTGATTCAGATGATTCATCATATCCACGAAATGAGAATACTTGTTGTAGAAGAAATCGAACACAATCAACAACTACAGTCAACGTAATCTTATTTTTTTTAATCCCTCTTATCTTTACTCGATCACATGGTGGAACACTATGTATTTGTTTCTTTATTAGTCTTCACAATTGTGTCTTGCCTTATTATTAACACTATTATGATCTCCAGTATGAGCTAATAGTTTTTCTTTTTTCTTCCAATTTTTAAATCTTTCATTGACAAATGAATCTCCACCTCCTTGACTTGTACCAACTACTTCTTGAGGCGTAAATAGACAACAATAGAGGCAATATGCTGTATCTTTTAGCACTCTATATTCTAACCAAGTTGGATGATCCTCATACAATGTTGAACTAAATCTCCGAGCAATGGTACCTATCACTGTTTGAGGAAAATCATCTTTTTTTGGGTGATGCGGTTCTTTGAGCAAATATGTTCTTCGTACTCTATCTTTATCATTAACATCATAACTCCATATAGAAGGGCAAAGCAGGATCAGCTGAAAGATTATCTACGTCAATTTTCACTCGTTCTTTTCTTTTTAAATAAAAATCATTCAATAAACCTTGACATAAGAAATATATTATTATTTTAAATAATTGAAATTAATAATCAAATATTTTTTAACATGAATATTAAAATAACATACGATAAACAAGCAAACCAATCTAAACATAATAATTCAATATTTAACAGCATTTCTTCTCGGTATTGGGAGAGTTGAATTTATTAAAACTAGTTATCGTATTGAGCTATCTATCATTCACAATGTAATTATTTCTTTTCATTTGCCATTACAGGAAGTCACATACTTTCTCAAAAAAATTGAGACAATCCCGATTATCCTGAATGTCATCTTTTGCTCAGTCAATATCTTCTTATAGGTATATTCCTAGCAAAAAAATATCAATATATATTTTTTGTGAAATTAATATTTGATTAAAAATTGATACGTGCTTCAACAAAAAAGTAGCAAAATGGAAGTTAAAACATGCTATAAATCATCATTAGGAAAAGTAACATGATTTTTTCTCTGTAAATGTAAATTAATTCAACCTAAGTGCAAGTCTGGTATGGAACCTTATTGGCATGATAAGCATAATTAAGGGCGTTTGTTTTACTGAAAAAAATGCGGTGTAAAAAAATAGAGTTTAAGAAATATGCACTGCATTTAGATGTTGGACATTTACAAACATAATGATACCGTCTAATTCTCATGTATTTACATGTCTAGCACCTAAAACATTAATTATTACCTTTAGACCACCCAAATCTTTCATATCAATTAAAAAATGTAACTATTTTTTTTCAACAAAACAAACTTCAAAAATACAAAAGAATTGAGTGGTATGCATGTAAATTTTCCTATATTAAATATTCAGACTTGATTATAATGCAAACTTGATAAAAAAATTAATAAATAAATTTAATCCGTATTTTAAAGGCAAGTTATTATCCAATTTAACTCAATATACACATGCCTGGACACTCACTTTAGAGTTGCAGTTAGGCAGATAAACATATGCCATAATTAAAATTAGTTAAAAGGGACACTAACAACGGGCCAAAAGTTGGCAGTGGCCCCTCCAATAGGTCAAATTCCACCCATTAATCATTAGCATGCAGAACAAAAATGAAGTTTTCAAAATTTAATAGCATAAATTGTAGTAGTGCCATGCATCATCATTTTCAGAGAGATGCGTGGAAAGAGGTGAAAACTCGTAGCTGCATTCCATGCGGGGACTGTAGGGACGGCAGGGTAGTCTGCATTCCATGCGGCAGCAAGCCGGAATGATGGTTGGACAATAGAAAAACAACATATTTGCTCTTTTTCGGATGGCGGCAGCGAGGATCGGTGATTGGAGGTAGAGGATAATGGTAAAAAAAGTGGTTGAATTGTTTTTTAAGGACAATGAACTGGATGAAGGGAAAGCGATGTAAGAAAGCATGAGGAAGGGTAGAAGAGGATAAATACCACATTGGGAGCGAGATATAGCAGAAGCACCTCTTGACCCTTGGAGGAGAATCACCACCTTGGAACGAGATACAATCGGAGCACCACTCGCCATTGGATGCAACCTTAGAAGGGAGAAATTGGGAAGTTCATGGTTGTGCTTGACAGAAGCACGAAAAAACTAACCCTGGATTGCTGGAAAGCAAATTTATAATAATAAGATAATTAGAAGTGGGCCCAAGGGACTGACCGACACTCCATAACAATGAAAAGCCAGGGCTTCACCCATTCAGATGCGGCTATTTCTGTATCGACAGCTTCCACGTCACCGGACACCAGCGTCATTCCTATACATAGTATTCTCAATCAACGAACTTTTACATGACATGGATTTAAGTTATTTTGAGAACTTGTAGACAATTTTTATATATTTTTTATTGGTAAATGCATATATTGACATAATAGATTACTATTAAAATAATGTTTCTTGTGTGTGATATGTTTTTCAAA